CCAACACCAAAATATTTGTGTTGTTTGATAAAAATCTGGTTCAACAAAATCTACTCTTGAAATTACTTTTGCACCACGTGGCAATCATAGTTGAAAATCAATGAGTTTGGTTCTGTCAAGACCTAGGACCCCATTGCTTTTCAGCAATTTAGTAGGGACATATAAAATCGACCTCATCCGTAAAATTAACTGAAACTGATTTAAATCAAAATTATTTGTTATTAGAACTGATGATGATCCAAAATCTATTCAAGCTTGAAATGATATTGTTTTGAACTAGAGTTGTGTGTGATAATTTTGGATATAAATCTGATAAGATGATAATTGAATCTGAATTACATCTGACTTGATATGAAACTAAAATCAAGATTAACCTAGTAAATAATTGATATTATTCGACTTGTCATCGAATTGATTTGTTATGAACCTAGACTTTAATCAACTCAACTTATAAATAATTCAACTTATTATTAAATCGATATGATATTACCCAACATGGTATTTACTTATTTATCGAAAAAAATTTGATATTTACTTAACTTGTAAGTTGTAATTGATGAAATTATGAAATTACGAGTTTATGATATTATAGTGTGACAAAAATAATTCTTCATTATTAATATTGTCTTGAAATAACATGATATTTAAATGATTTGGACTCAGATTATTTTGGTCTGAACTAATATTGATTCGAGTTAAAAATAATTCGGCTCCGACCTAAATTGAAATAATTTAAAATCAACCTAAAAATTATATGAACCCAAATGGATCGAAACTTGGCCTGATTCAAAACATTAAATTAACATGATATCTAGTTTAATTTGACCAAACATTATTTGACCTAAAATTTAAATGATTATACGATTTCACATCCATAATAATTAGGAGTAGCACGTATGCTTTTAAGGCAATAATCTTATGACAAATTTCCTTAAAATGTCAATACGGGAGCAGTTCGATGTTAGCAAATACTTCCTAAACCGACGTTTTAACCCTAAACTTTTGGAAACAATAATGTGAAAGTGCAGCTACCTTTAAAAGTTTGATGCTTGATTATACGAAACCTACTGCACAACGAAATTCTTGGCCCAAAGAAGGAGAAATAGAGGGAGAGAAATGAGGGACGGATACAAATTTTTTTTTTTTATTTTGATTAAGAAATGAATTTATAAAATTTTAAGAATTATTGAATTCATAAATTTTTTAGAACGAGAATTAATTGTTAATAGAAAATATTTAAACTTTTTTAAATATATAATAATTTAAAATTTATTAAGAATAATTGCTCCTACCGTTCGTCGATCCACCTAGTAGAGAAATGTTAGCTCACATGTCCACTGTAGTTGCCATTAGATGCATACATATATCCAGCTGTATGATTAGATGTTAGCTGAGTACCACAAGTACTTGTAAGAAGTAGATTTGTTTAAACTTGAAAGCAATCCCATCTTGATTTCTCAAAGCGAAGTCACAAGAGAGTAAATAAGAACCCTGCACAAACTTTTGCAACATGAACAACACTGTTACTGTTTTTTCCGCCTTTCTCTCCTATAAAATGGTTGCTTCAGGCCCTCTCTTTTCACATCAAAGAATATATAATTTGTGGGTATTGATAGTTGCTTGCACTTAGCTTGTCTTTGCATGGTGATTGTCACATATATAATTGAAACCCTAGCTAGGCGCTTCCCATAGAATCAATTAAGCTTTTGTTTTATGTTTTCTTGATTAATTTATCTCTCACACAAGTTTCATTCTCTCTCTATATATATATGTATACTATTTAGTGTAGGTAATATTTAGTGGTGTGCTTTTGTTGTGAGGGAATTGCAGACGACGGAGCTCTCTTCAGTTCAGTCCAAGGCAGTTGAGAGGGCTAATACTTTGCTGCTGACTCTTTGGTTCAAAAGCTCATCGATCAGGGAACAATGGTGATGTGTTTGTGGTCCAGCGATGCAGGAGCTGCGTTTAGTTTCTATCTGTCACGTCTTGGACTGAAGGGAGCTCCCTCCTAGTATTAAACTTCTTTGAAGTATAACACTAATTTTGGGTATTTAGCTAAGTTCTTCCGCATGTTAATAACCCTACTGTTCTTGCATTTTTGCTGCAGATTGTTGCAGAAGAAGGATTATCAGTAAATGAAGATTGCTATAGCCGAAGAAGAGATGATTCATGGCACTCTCATCCGCTTGGAGGGCTTATTTTTCTGATGATCGTCAATTTAGGAGTTTTAAAAGTTGTATTTTGCTGTTTTTTATTTCTTTGCTAAATCACTAAAGTATTGAGTCGTTTAAAACAAGCTCTTCGACTCAAAAAAGCATAATACCATCTTACCAAATGACTTCATCTTCATGAATATACCAATTTCTGCATGCTTTATACTCTCTAGATACTTCGCACTTGTCTTTCTTTCCACAGTAAGGATTTTTAAACTTGTTTCTTCGATCTAACATATGATCATATACTTCAATATTTGATATATCAGAACTAGAAAAGCTACTCAAGATATATTCACTTGTCTTTCCTTCCAAAATTCTTATGATCATATGCTCTCTCAACGTGCTAATTGCTTTCAAGACGGTGGTTGTCCTGGCTGATTATTGTGGTCCCCGTAGTTGAACCTGTGGCGAGGTTGTTCTGGATCTCCTCCTGCCATGTCTAAGGTCTTTTCCTCTTTCACCAGTAACTTCGTCTTCCTCGTATCCGATGCAACCAATGATGTCGGTCTGAGTAGGCATGTTAAGGAGCTTTTAAATGTATGACAAATAAGCCCAAAAGGTGAAGGTTATTGGGCTATTAAGTTCCTTTCCCATGACTCCAATCATCTCATCGTACATGATAAGCGCAAGTTCATTTTTATTTCCGGTAATGTTTTATTATTAATAGTAGATTTTTTTGGGTATATTATCGAGAATGTCATTATCTCATTTTTTTAGGTATTGTAACATTATCGGCGTTTTAGACTAAAATGTTCTTAAATTTTTATTTTTTTTAAAAATATTATTCTTTTGTCATTAAATAATAAAAATTTTACGAATGTTAAATTATAAATTTATCTTTAAATTATTTTAGATTTATAAAAAAAAAATTATAATTAAAATTTTATATAAAGTTTAGAGGTTAAAAAAAGTTCTATCATTTCATTAAATTTTTTTATATTTTTAATTTTGTAAAAAAATTATATAAATATTATGAATTTAATTTTTTAAAAAAATTATATAAATATTTTACAATTTATAATATCATACAAATATATAATAAAGATAATTTGGTAAAATATACATTTAAATAATATTTTATTCCTTTAACCAAACACGGTAATTTTTTATTCCTGTTAAATCAATGAAACACAAAATACAACATTCTCAGTAATCGTATTCGTTGGTAATATTTTATCTTCATTGATAATCTTACATTCTGTAAACCAAACGTACCCTTAAAGCAATCGAGCCACAAATAGTCAATGGCTAGAAGAATATCATGCTTATAAGTAGCTTGCCGAGGATGGAGACATTACAATTCTTAAACAATATCAGGATTGAATTCTGACATTTACGATTGGTTTGGAAGGATTACTCTCTATATCCTATTTGGTTTAATTGTAAATCGAATATAGATATTTTTGTATAAAACAAAATAAGATAAGGAAGAGGTTATAGAGATCAAGCTCCGAGGCTAACTCCCTTTGGTTTCACCTCCATTGGGAAGGTGCAAAAAGTCCAAATTCTCTAAGGGTACCCATAACAAGAGTTAATTGCAGTTACAGTCTCACATCAAGGCTCGTGCCCAAGCATATATAGCATTCGAATAGAATGGTCGTACAAGATTAACATGATAAGAACAGATTTGAGATTTGACTCGCAAAATACCCTCACGGCGTCAACAAAGTTAAAACTATTTGGTTATGGTTTGAATATGTTGGGTCTTAAAGAGTGTACTTTTAAAAGGCAAAGTCGTCATCGATAATAAAATTTAGGATTGATTAGAAGTGAGGAAGGTTAAAATTTTTTATGATAATTAAAATTAGTACTTTTAAAATTATAGTGTCTCATTTTTTAAAAAAATTAATAAAACATGAGATATAAATATATATTAGTAAATGTTTTGTTTTGAAAAATTTCTATCTCGGAAAAGAAAGGAGAATTTTAATTCTAATGGATTTTGAACCCACAACGAGAGAAGAAAGTTGTCAACAGAGATCTTAATCACTTAGTTAAATCCCAAATTAATAATTTTATAATATCTCAATCAAAATATTAATGTTTAATTCAAACGATCTTCTATAATTTAAAAATTATTTTGTATTTTTTAATAATCAGAGACTCAAAGAGTGTCCTATAATCAATAAACTATTTGTATAGTTTATCCTATTTTTTAACATCCCTACTGCTCGGTTGGGGTCTTCTGAGTTAATAGGCAACGAGGGTGATGGTTGAGGCAGAGGGTGGTCGAATGTAGATAATGGTGTGTGGGGTTTAACTGATGGTTGACGGTTTTCAATTTCGGGTTGTTTAGGTGAGGGCGACGATGAAATTTGGGTGATCGAGAGAGCTGAGGGTTGCTTGGTTGATCGAGCTAAGGCTTGAGTAAGGGTTCACTGAAAGGCCTGACGACCTCCTTTCTTCAAAATTTTCCTTCGAAGGTAATGGTCAAAAGCCCACAACCTTCCCTTCCCTTTAATTCTCTTCTTATTCTCTGCTCTCCGTGTTTTCCTTTACTCTTCAGTAGTCCCCCTTCAATTATTTGCAGGTTTTTTGTTATATACATTAATGGGTACGAAGGTTGAGAAAAAACAAGAGAAGTTTTTGAGAACTTAAAACAAAATCCCCATTGCATGGAATTCTAAAATACCTTCAAAACTACAATATCCAAATAATAATCCGGTTTTGTGATCAAAATTATCATAACAGTTGACATACATACTTCTCATACTTCAACTGCTTCAACAATACTAACATTCCTAAACAATCAATCAGTAGATGCCAAAAATCAATTCAGAGTTAAAGAAACAAAATTTAAGTTTCTACTGCTTGTTCTTGATGGTGATTCCAAGCTCACCTGCAACAATAACAGTAGTCGCCATATCAAGGAACATGCCATGTTCAACCACACCAGCAATCCTCAAAATAGAATCGCTTGCAACCTGCAAATCCCCTATATCTTCCTTTAAATACAAATCAACTATATAATTCCCATTATCCGTCAAGAAAGGCTCCCCTTTACAATCATTCCTCAGCTTGGCAACGCAACCCGAATCTCGAAACAAGTTTTGGAGTTTATTTGCAGTGAAATTCCAGCAAAAAGGAACCACTTCAATAGGCAGAGCCAAACCGCTGCCTCCCAAATACTTAACCAGCTTGGATTCATCGACGATGCAAACGAATTTCTTGCAAGCTCCTTCCACCATTTTCTCTCTTAAAAGAGACCCACCTCTGCCTTTGACGAGATTAAGATGTGGGTCGACTTCATCGGCACCGTCGATCGCTAAATCGATGGTGGGGTGGCTGTCGAGATCCGAGAGTGGGATGCCTAGAGAAATGGCTTGTTCTTGCGTCTTTTTAGAGGTGGGGATTCCTATGATGTTGTTGAGCTTGCCTTGACAAAGCAACTCGCCGATCCGGTCCACGGCGTGCTTGGCTGTGGAACCTGTGCCCAGACCCAGAACCATGCCTGATTCGACGAACTCGACGGCTTTGTAAGCGGCTATCTTTTTCAATTCGTCTTGGGTTAAGATAACGGGCGGAGACATAGGAGGAGACAAAGACAGAGACAGAGCCTCCATGGAAGAAGCTTTTTCAGACCAAGCGACAGCCATTGTATTTGGGTTAATCGGTAATAAAGAATAAAATAAATCAAATGATATGAAGCGTGAGAGAAATGTGAAGAAAAGACTGGGAATTTTCTTTCGTTCTGGTTTTAATTTTCCTTCGGACACTGAAAGGGTCAAGAAGGGAGGAGGCTGTGGGGTGTAGCAAAGTCACGGCTTTGTTTGGTTTTTATAGACAGAGAATCGAAGGTGAAGAGGAAAGTTCAGAAGTAAATCAACCATAGATTTGGAATTTTTGAGTACTCACCTACGCCCTTCATTTCACCGTTGCTACAAGCTCTCTTCTTCACACTCGTATTGTAAATAAACTTTAGAAGATTTAAACACGTAATTATTGAATTAGAAAAATCAAATAATCCAAACCCTAACTCTTCAAACTCAAAACAATCTAAATCAATATTACTTATTTTAATGATAAAATTATTCCAATTAAATTAACTTCACTCAAAATAAATTCAATTTGCTCATACAAGTAAATTAAATTAATCATATAAAAATGAAAAGCAATGCAACGCGTGACAGCTTTAGAGCTTTAGGTTAATTCGCATGTTTTGTGGACCACTGGATCAGGATAGATATGTCGGTCTCTTTTTATTTTTCTGAATTTGTTCGTACCTCCTTTAATAACTAGAAAAATTATCTTTTTAATTTAATATTTTTAATCAGGTATCAGTCAGATTATATTTTTTGATTTAACACCCTTTAAAGTAAAGCGCGCGTCCTGCAGCGTATTATATGTTGATTTGGCGTCACGTGGGGTAAGACACGCCTTATGCTGACATGGATACACGTGTGTATAGCGCGAGGCAGGGGCCGCTCCTTACGCCACGTAAGATATAGCGCGGGACAGGGACCGTGCTATTCAATTATCAAACATGCACCGCGCCTTGCATTATTTTTCCAAACTTCTCGCCTTTAAGGCATCCTCTCTCGACTATAAATAGTCGTCTCCCGTAAACTCTCTCACCAACAATCATTTGAATAAGTAAATAACATCCTACAATCATCTTATATTTGATTCAGAAGTTTGCTCGATCTTTCGTTATAAGGTAATTTTGTTATAATATTTATTTTATAGTTATATATGATTATTTGAAAAAATATTATACTAATTGTTTTCAATTAATTTCTGTGTTTGTAGAATTAGAAAGTGGGAGCATACGTCGAAATATTTTTGTAATGCAGGTAATAATATAAAATTATATTATTTAAATTATTAACGTTTATGTGTAAAAAATTTATTCTGTTATATTTTTGGTCATATATTATTTATTTAATCAGGTTTGTTTTAGTTGTTTTTTTTGCAGATATAATATTGTTGCACTTTTAAACTCTAAGAATGACGCGACTTTCTGCTATTGTTTATTATGATGGAGAAATTCGAGAAGATGAAACCGGAGTTGTATTCGTATCAAATGAGCGTGTTAAAATATCATTCAAGAGAAACATAACTCTTAAGGAGCTGATAACGAAGATTTCGAGGAAGGTTCATGTTGGAAGTAGTAGAAGAATGTCGTCATTGCAATACAAATTTCCAACATCATTGTTGCCATTAATTTATACAACGTTCGAACTATCGAGCAATGATGATGTTGAAATGATGGTTGATTCTTAAAGTAATTTTTCAGACGGTGATATTGAGATGTATGCAAAGTTTGTTCAAGTGCGTGCTGTTCGGGGTCAGCCATTAAGCTCACACTATGGGCTGGCTGAACAAGTTGATCAAGTTGACAGCCTGACTACAGTAATGTGTAATGATTTTAATACAATAATGGGAAATCCACATCATGGTGCTGGCACATCAACTTCAATGGGGAGACATTCATTCGCAACTCCTTACGATATGTACCGAGGTGGGTCCACGAACAATTCGTATGGCAACATCGCGTCTAGTTCGAGGGGAAGACATTCATCTGCAAATTTCTTTGACCTTAATATGGAGATGACATCGACGCAACAATCTGTGCAGTTTCCATTTGACACGATGGCTTCAAGCTCTAGGGGGAGGCATTCGACTGCGAGCTTTTTCGATCTCAATCCAGATATGCCTTCTAGTTCAAGGGGAATGCGTGCCAGTAGTAGGTTCTTTGACCTAAATGTGGAGAGCATGGAGGAACCATCATCTCCACTAGAAGAACTGCTTCGTGAGCTTGGTGCGAATGGTGCTGAGACTGGACTATTCATTCACCCAGAATCACCACAACTCAACTTCGATGGTGATGACGATGTAGATGAAGTTCCAGCAAATGTGACACAAACTGACCCTCCAACACACATGTATGAAGCTGATTATGATGCAATGTACTGGCCAAAATTTGCGGATATGCCTCATCTCGGTGACTATGAATATTACTCATCAATAAATAATGGTGAGTTATCTTTAGGCATGAAGTTTTCAAGCAAGGAAGAAGCGATGATGGCTATCAAAAATTACAATATCCGTAATTCTATTCAGTCTAGAGTCGACCGCTCCACGACCAAAAAATATGTATGTTACTGTGCCCGACGCGAAAACGGATGCAGTTGGATGGTTCGTTTATCGAAGAAGAAGAGGAAAAACAACAGATGGGATCTAACAGTATACAACGACCCTCACACATGTTGTGCTGGAGTGGTCAACCAAGATCATCTCAACTTGGACTTTGAAGTGATATGTCAAGCTATCATGCCCATGGTAAAAGCAAGCTCTCATATAGCTGTTGTTGTGTTGATTTCAACTATACAATCGCAGTATGGGTACACTGTCTCCTATAAAAAAGCTTGGTTAGCAAAACAAAATGCCATTGTCAAACTTCATGGCGAATGTGATGCATCTTACAACAAACTTCCAGGCTGGTTTAGGCTTGTACGGAGGTTGAATCCGGGGATAATTGTGGACTTCGAAACCTCCTATGCATACCATAATTATCGAGTTCTCCGCAATCGATGCCAATTCTACTGGGTTTTTTGGACTTACCCACAGTGCGTTAATGTTGTCAAATACTGCAAGCCTGTGGTCCAGATCGACGGGACTTTCTTGTATGGAAAATACAAGCAAGTTTTATTATTGGCAGTTGTCCAAGATGGCAATCGCAACATTCTTCCAGTTGCTTTTGCTCTTATCTAAGGAGAAGATACATATTCTTGGGCTTTTTTCCTCTAAAATTTACGTGCACATGTTATCACGAGGGAAAACATCTGTGTCATTTCAGATCGCGGAGCTGGGATCAAAGCAGCAATAGAGTCTTTGGATCCAATGTGGCAACCACCTTTTGTCCAACATAGATATTATCTCCGACACATTGCTGTGAACTACCATGGAAGGTACAAGAAGAATGATGAATGTCGATTAATTGTGCATATGGGTAAGTGAAACTGATGTAGTTTGTTTTCTTTCGATCGTTTTAATTTTGCAAAGAAAGCAAGTTAGTAAGTTATACATTTTTTGATCAGGTTACGAACTACTTCATCGAACGTTTAAATCAATGCTTCAAGATTTGCGGGCGAAGAACGATGAAGGATACGATTACATCAGCCTCATCGATAAAGAAATCTGGACGAACGCATATGATGGTGGATATCGATATGGACACATGACGACCAACTTGGCAGAGGTAATCAATTCAACTTTAAAGGGTGCACGTCACTTACCAGTAGCGGCTTTGGTAAAGACTATATATTTTTGTTTGGGGGCACTTTTTGTGAAGCTCGGGGGACAAGCTCAAACCTAGATGCAAGGCGGTCATGTCTATCACCCTAGATTAATTGCAGATCTATAGAAAAAAATTGTTGCATCAAATGGAAAGTCTGTAACAAGTTTCTCTAGAAGGCATGAAATGTTTCGTGTCACAGAGTTGCCGCGACCTCTTCAAGGGATTGAAACTGTGTCGTTAAGAGTAAATCTAAGGGACAAAACGTGCGACTGTGGGTTTTTTCAAGCTCTTAAGTATCCATGCTCTCATGTGATAGCAGCTTGCTCGCATACACGTCAAGACTATAACCATTTGGTGGATCCTGTATACCTACTATATGAAGTTTTTAAGGTATACGAATTTGAGTTTCCCCCATAGGTAATGACAAAGACCCTGATGAGGTTCAAGATTAGCTTTCGATTGTACCAAATCCGAGTTTATTGAGGGAGCGTGGTCATCCAAAATCCAATCGAATTCATTGCGATATGGATATTCGAGAAAGATCTAGACAAGACAGAAGATGTGAGCATTGTAGAAACCCAAGACACACTAGAAAAACATGTCCACTTCTGTTGCCATCAAGTAACAATTGATGAGGAAATGATGTATTTGTTTATCAAATAATAATTCTTGTACTTTGATTTGCATTTGCTTCAAGTTAATGTCATTCGATAATCGCTGATGAAGATTAAAAAAACGATACAATAATACGAGATTGGACGTTTGCGTTATATGTGATTATAATAAAAGAGATAATAAGTGACAAACTTAAGAAAGTTATCGAACAATTTGGTATTTTAAAATAATTTTAAATACAACAAACTTACAATAAGTATTAAATGGTAAATGATAATCAAATTACAATAACTGATATTAAATGGTAATAAACAAAATTAACTTAAATACATTAAAAAAAGTCAAACAAATTTAACAAAATAAAGTAAGTATTAAATGAGAAATAATAAAAAATTACAATTAAAAAGTCCAATAAACTAAATACAAATATAATAAAAAAATAAAATCTATCGATGTCTGTGACACGAATGTGTTCCGCTGGGCGGTGACTGTCGGTCTCGAGGAGGATTTCTTTGTATCATTGGTTGTGACTCCTCACTGTTTTCATCATCACCACCATCATCGTCGTCGTCGTCCTGAGTAGGTACATTAGGTTGATGAGGAGCTGATGAAGATGAAGCATTTCCATAGAATAAGGACCTGGAGGGTATGACTGACTATCCCACAGGTCTGCGAAAACTGGGAAAACTCATAAAACCCAGACATCGCTGAGTGTGAAAACTGTACAGGAGGTGTCTGTGCTGCGGCCATGGGAGATGAGGCTGAACCCGCCAAATATCTAATATATGAACCCCAAGTCGGA